AACAGGTTTATTTGAAATCACAAGCTTTCATCACTCGCCTGACACTTCGGAAGCTTGTGATTTCAAATAAACCTGTTGGACTATAACCTGGTGTCGTGTGACTTCTGACCTTGTCCACCCCATTCCAACACTGGCAGTGCTCTGGCAGCTTGGGATTTCAAACAAACCTACTGGTCTGTAACCTGGTGTTGTGTGACTTTTGACCGAATTCAACTAATTCCTTAATAATTGTTTGTTAATTGCACTTATAATTTCAGTATACCCACATGTATAATATGTAATGGCAATCACTTCAAAAGCCTTTGATAATGGTGGGATCAGACTTTCCCTTCTACACTTTATTAAAGAACAAGCTCTCTCTTTCCCACTAAGATTTCTGTGAGGCACTTCATTATCTTTTCTGGTTACTATGAGTATCAGCCTATGATTCTGACTGGAAAATGCTGCATCAACTAATAATTAGCTTCAACCATGGGCAACTCCGACAGGTGCCATGAAATGTCATTGATTGCTGTAAAAACCATCTGGCTCACAGAGATGATGGCATTGTGGTAATATTATGCTAGTAATCCAGGGATTCAGGATAAGCTGTGGGGACATGTGATCAAATTGTGGAAACTGGTGGAATTTAAATTCAATTAAGTCTGAATTTGAAAGTTTTAAAACTCGGTAATGGTCATCACGAAACTACCGTCAATTGTTGTTAAAAACCAGTCTGGTTCACTAATGTCTTTTAGGAAATGAAATCTGTCATCCTCATCTGGTCTGGCCTGTTTGTGACTCTCTACTCACAGCAATATTGTTGACACTTAGCGGCCCTGTAAATTTGCCAACCCTTAGGAATTCTGATTGATTCTCTGCCAGTCTCTGTATGTTAGCCAATACAAATGAATGAGAAGAATTTGCCTCACATTACTTCTGTACATGTGCTTCCATGGACAGATGAATAGATTTTGAAGTTAGGTGGTCAAATGAAATCTTGGGTAATGTCTTAGTATTAATGTTGGTATGAAAGACTTCATTTACTATGCAAGTCCAAAGAAAATTGCTGTCTTCCACAACTTTTACTTCTAACAAGAAACTGAACTAAATAATTGAGTCAGAGTTAAACTCACAGCTGAGGGACAGTGATATATTCAAGAGACTTGGTAGTTTTTAAAAGAAACATCTTTTTTTTTGTTCCTAAAACCTAATGTGTGCTTGTTTACCATGCGAAACAAAGTGGGAATAAGATCAGAAATCAGGGCTCTGTGTATTTTTGCACAAGGCAGATTCCTTGAGTCCAGATCGGACAAGAGTAGTGTAAATAGGCCTGGAGAGTACATTTTACTTTGTTAATATATAGCTTAGGTTAACTTGGTTATTTTCAGGAGGTTTTACAATAAACTGGAAGCCTATTGGAAACCAATCATGTCGGAACTAAAAATACCAAGATTTCACATTGTTTTCAAAGACGCCAGTTGTAACGCTCACAACTATACAATCACTGTCTCATTATATGTATGAACCACTACTATTGTAAATTAGTAACCAGCAGATGCTTCTATTCAGAATGCTTCAATTATGTTGTAATTTAAAAAAAAGTGATCATAAACAAGTAATTAATGAATGCTGGATCAATTTTTGTTGCATACAGCCACACGGGGCACGGGAGTGGCCTTGCTGAGGCAATTTGGCAGTCATGAAAAGATGGCTTTTTTAAGGCCACAGAGGTCTGGACGACTTCGGCAAGGAAAAACCTAGAGGCACAGTGACACCATGAAACAAGTATTTCAACAACGGGCATTGCTACACCATTTTCTCTGTCCTTCCTGCTATTGCTCTGTTTTTGCTAAGCGTCAATTGTAACATGTTTTAGTTCAAACCTCTCCTTGAAGACATTGGGCTGGATATTAACTTGAAGTGAGCATGGGGAGACCATAGAGCTGATGTCAGGATTGAAAATCTGAAAGGAATGAGTTTCTTGAAGACCCTGTCATATTTACTGGAAGGATCGGACAAATGTTTCTTTTGTCTGTTTGCTAGTTGTAGGCAGTCACATTAAGAGGCTTAAATAAAATCATAATAAGGCAGATGCTGGAATTATGAAATAAAAACAGAGTGCTAGAGAAACTCAGCAGGTCTGGCAGCATCTATGGAGAAAGAAACAGAATTAACATTTCAAGTTCAGCTTGAGTCCAGTTCCAAAGAAGAGTCTGAACTTGAAACAATAACTCTGTTTCTCTCTCTTCAGATCTTACCGCACGTATTGAGTTTTCAGCACATTTTGTTTTTATTTCAAGTTAAAGGGATATCAGATGGCCATGCCTTCAACACTTGGCCATAGTGAGGAAGTAACTGGTGCAGGAGAAGGAGAATTGAAGTTTACAACTGGGAAAGCTGGGGCAGCCAGATCAGGGGGTGATCAGGGATGGATCCTGACATTATGGACTCTGGGGTTGTAGAGATTAGAGATTTTTGAGGGAAGATCTGTAGCTCGGGTTGTGGCTGGAGTTGTTGGTTGGTTCGCTGAGCTAACTAGTTTTTGTGCAAACATTTTGTCCCCCTTCTAGGTGATATGTTCAGTGCTATCTAGCCCCCATTGAAGCGCTGTTGTTCTGTTCCATTCTGAATTTATATGGTCCAGTCTGTTATGGTGGATAGTTCTGATTCCAGTTTTGCTCCATAGTGGTATGTAGATGGGATCTGCTTCAACATGTTTGTTGATGGTACCAGTGGTTGAAAGCCAGGCTTCTAGGAATTCTTGCACTTGTCTTTGTTTTGCTTGACCTAGTACTGTTTATTTGGTTGTGCCGTTTTGCTGTGAGTTGGTGTTCATGTTTCCTGGTTGCGTGTTTTCTGCCCATCTGTCCTATGTATTGCTTCTTGCAGTTGCTGCATGGTATTTTGTATATCACATTTGTCCTACCCTAGATTAGAAACATATCGGAACTGAATACAAGACTCCTACGACCTCTTGGAATAACGATAGCACACAAACCAACAGCCACACTTTGCCAGCTACTCTCAGAGATGAAAGACCCCACATCCACAATGAGCAGAACAAATGTGATATACAAAATATCATGCAGCAACTGCGAGAAGCAATACAGGCAGGAAACTTGCCATCAAGATGCACGAACACCAACTCACAGCAAAATGGCACGACCAACTCTCCCTCATCCCTATTCACTCTGACAAATGAGATCAGTTTAACTGGGATAACATAGCAGTACTAGGACAAGGAAAGCAAAGACAAGCATGAGAATTCCTGGAAGCCTGGTTTACAACCACTGGTACCATAAACTAACATGTTGAAATAGACCCCATCTACATACCACTATGGAGCAAAACCGGAAACAGAACTACCCACCATAACAGACTGGACGATATAAATTCGGAATGTAACAAAACAACAGCGCCTCGATGGAGGCTAGACAGTACTGAACATGTCACCTAGAAGGGATACGAAACGTTTGCATGAAAACCAGTCAACTTGGTGAACCAACTAACAACTCCAAGTTTGAGGGAGTCAGGGAGACCTCATGGGGATGAGATTGCATAGGAAATTGGACATTCCTGGCACTTCAAATCATGGGGAATTGTTGAAGAAGGTATAATGAATCCAGAAGGTAAATGGAAAGGCATTTGTTTTTGGATTCAACGTTCCTTGCCTCCCTTTAGCTAATGGACTCAGCAACGCTTGGGAAATGTAACCACTCTTGCCCTATACAGCAGAGGTGGCCACAACACCAGACCATGCCAGCCTGCTCCAAGGTTGCTCTACCAGGGTTAAAGCAGTCACAGCCGTCTGAAGGAATACACAGCAATGTGCAAAGAACTCTACCAATATAAGTGCACAATCTTCTTCCCAACATCTTGCACTTTCTCTGCTACTGTACCCACCCCCCTCCAAGGCTCATGCTCTCTCACTTGCTGTCACTCACCTGTCGCTTTCTGGTATATATCTGCACTAGATTTCTCAACAGTACAGTAGTGTCGTGAGCCTGTTGTATCTGGTTGATGTGGCAAAGTGCAAAAAACCAAGGCCAATCAATGCAAGACAGGGATGCTGTAAGCATCTGGGTAGGCTCAGCAAGAGTAAGCGCCGTGACAGAAAATGAACAGGCCAGACATGCAACCTGGTCCAGTCCATGAGTTGGATATATGCCCCATAGTGTAGAGTCCTTGCAGCAGCATTAAAATGTTAGTTGCTGGTGCAGCATTGAAGTGCAGAAGAGTGCTGTTAATGGTTTGAATATTTGCAATGGGAGTTCTTAGAGCTGGCATATGTCAGAGGTCACTGTCTGTGGTCATGGAGTACATGTGGCCAGTGCCCATGGAATGTCCTCTGAGATAATGGTGCCTGGTGTCTGACATAGATTTCCTTATGCTCTTATAACTGAACTGTGAGTTACTTCATTGTATCATTTAGTAATACAGTAGCGGAAGAAGTTACTTACCAACTGAGTATGCACTGACTTTTCAAAGAGTGGTCCATTTAGTTTCATTCTTTGGTTCTTTGGCAAGATTTTTATTCTTCAAGTAGTTATCTAATTTCCTTTTGAATGTACTGGTGAATCTATTTCCACCTTGTTAGGCAGCAAGGTCCAAATGATACCCACTTGTATGCCTGTGTGCAAACACTTTTTTTAGTCATCCTTGGGAGGTAAGCATGTGTAAACTAGCATATTATGCTTGCCTGTAATTGTTCATAAGAAGGTGTGGTGGGCTGCCTGCTTGAACGACAGTATCCTTGGAGCATAGGCACACCCACATTGTTGTTAGGGAGTGAGTTCCAGGATTTTGAGCTCCAGGATTTTGAACCAGTGATATTGAAGGAGGGCTGATGTAATTCCAAATCAGGTATGTGGCTTGAAGGGGAACATGCATGTGATACTATCCCCATGGTTTCGTCGCCCTTGTCCTTTAGGTGGTAAAGATTGTGTCTTTATTGCGTATGTATTTTATCACAAATTTCATTCATGTACCATTTGTTTTTATTGTTTTCTTCTCCTCAGGAAACTGGTGGATTTCATTATAAAACTACATTTTCCTTTGATAAACGTAACCAGCTCAAACAGGTATCTGGTACGTTTTAAGATAAATATTTTCAATGTATGATATTAGAATTTGTACTGTTTGTGTACCATTAACTGAAATGTCATATTTCCCTTGTCTTTTCAGAAAATTAGTAACAATTTTTACTGAGTTAACATTTTGTTATTGCAGGAATTTTTCGCTCAAGTTGTGACTGATACATCATATCTCATCGCACAATGGATGTCGGTGGGTTTTGCACATGGTATGATATAAAAACATTGTTCAATGTAATTAAATTAGAAAATACCAAATTAACATACAAAGATCCAATGGGCAGCATCTTATAGGGGCTTGAACAAAGTGGGCTATGGCAAGATTTGTGACGGAATCATGTAAGAAGTCCAATGAGGCCTGTTTCAACATTGGGAGTAAGTTGCATCTTTTTTGCATTTACTGAGCAGTGAGATAGGTTTCTGGTTAGGCAGTGGTGAGTTGCTAACTAAGAGGGATTAAAGCTTGTTAAATATCTTTTAATTCCACAACTTATTAATATTCAAGTTAAGCATCGAGAATGGAAGTTAGAGCACAAACCTGACTGCTTCAGGTCATCACTTGCTCCAAAGGACCTCCATGTTTGACACTGGCATAGGCACTGGCCACACCACCCCATATCAACAGACATTGACATCTGACATGTGCTGGCTTTTGAGATCCCTGAAGGCACATTTCCAGTCCACTTACAGCACACTTCTGCAATTTAGTGATGCACCTTAGGCTGCATTGGCATCGATCATTGTAATGCTACTGTAAGAGACTGCACTCAGGTACACAGATTCAGCTCATGGAGTAGACCAGATTGTGTGTTTGGCCTGTTCGCTTGCCTGTTCACTCTGAGACTACCTGGATGCTCAGGCATGCCTAGCCTTTCTGTGCTTTTGCCCCCTCAAGCAGCCATACAAGGCTCACAATACTGCCGTATTGCCCTACAGTTTATCGCAGATGCAAAGCCAAGAAGCTTGTCATGTTGTCACCAGGCCTCAGTTAAGGCAAAACAGATAGCGTTCTCTCTGGGGGTCCCAATATAGTAAATCAACGGCAGCTACCAGTACCACTCTATCTTATACACAGTCAGTGAATGACTTGATGCAGTCAGAGTCATCATGCTCTCCACATAAGGGAAGAGGAGCCAAATGTTGGCAGCCCACCATTCTTGACTCTTTTGCCCTACTGCGGGGTGTTTTTCTGCTGAAATAAGAGAAAGACAAGTATTGTGGGAATTGAAAGTGGGTGAAACAGCCATTACTTTTGATGCAAGTGGCTGAGTAAATAGGTAGCACAGAGGGCATGCAGGATTAGTGGTGTCATTTGTAGGGGTGGCTGAGAATGAGAGAGGGGTGATGAGGTGGGCACTAATGACATTGGTTGAGAATTAGCCATTCAACAGTATTCCTACCCAGGAAGATATTGGAAGTCTGATGATGGAATGGGATGGTCATGTAGAAGCATCATTGTTGTGCAAACCTTGGGTAGATCAGGTTGTCCCTGGTACATCTCTCCACGGTCCTCGGATCCATGACAGGCTAGTTTGGACTTACTGGATCCTCCGCATGCTCTGACAAATCCTCCTTATTTGAGAAAGTCTGATCTTCCTGTTCTTCCCTTTATGACATCTATCCATGTTGCAGTACCAAGTTGTGCAGTGCATAACAGACCATGACTAATCATGACAATTTTTGAGTATGCATTGCAGAGCCCCTCTAGACTGGCCAACACAGCAGAAGTGCATTTTAAGATAAAAACCAAAAGAACTGCGGATGCCATAGATCAGGAACAAAAACAAAGTTGCTGGAAAAGCTCAGCAGGTCTGGCAGCATCTGTGAAGGGAAAAACAGAGTTAACGTTTCGGGTCCGGTGTCCTTTCTCAGTCCCTTGACCAAGCACCAATTGTGTGTTGATGGACTGAAGTTATTTACAATTTACAGATCTTTTAAATAAGGCATGGGCACTATTGGGATTTGAACCCAGGATTTCCCACCTGCACTAGAAATGTGTAATAGCATCTCTGAACAGTTTGATTAGAAAAATAGGTACAATTTATATATTTAGTAGGATGTTCACTGTGAGCTTTGATGACCGTGAGTGCAATAGATGATGCCTTATGCTTGAGGAAACCCAGCAATGACACTGAATGTGCCAGGTGATGTTGCAGCCTGGCTGTCATCTTCTGTGGTAAAGATATAGAGTAATTAGAACCACTAAATATGCCATCAATTACCTTTTATGCACCTATGTATAGTATGGATGTCACATATATTGCCTTGGAAGCCACTGCTGGTATAGAAATTGAGGGCCATTGTAACCTTGAGGGCCATTAGTATGTGGTCTGCCATCTCTCCTCTAGACTCAGTCCTACAACATGCTCTTTTTCCTTTTGTTTCTGTTGATCAGCATTTTCTGTTTTCTCTGTTTCAGGTGTGTGTAATACAGACAACTTCAGTGTGCTTTCTGTAACGTTAGATTATGGTCCTTTTGGCTTTATGGATTTCTATGATCCGAGTAAGTTTCTTTCTTCTTTTCAAAACATCTATTACAACTGCACTCAAAAACACAGTTTAACATAGTGATCCGCATCAACCTTAGGACCATATATATATCTGACTCATAAAAAAATTTGCAAGCGAGTTGTCTCGCAAAATATACTGTTGCATATTTACATTTTTCATACTGTTTAAAAATAGTGTTCATCTTGGCTGTTACGGCAATGATGGCACTGCAGTTTGTCTTGTGGCGTTAAACTAGGAAGGAGAAAATTATCTGGGACTTTAATCTGTGATTTTTTAATAATGATCATCAATTCTAGATATTGTGCATGCTATTATTTTGGTTATGGATAAACTGGGCATAAGGCGTGGTGTTCTTCCTCCCTGCTTCCTCCCCAACTTGCCCTGCAATCCTCTAACCCTCCTCAGTTGACTAGTTTCACTACCTGATACTCAGTATCTTAACCAAGCATGTAGGATAGTTACTTACATATGTAGTGGAAGGCTGAAGTAAAAACGGTTAGTGATGGAAAAACTCATCAGGTCTGGCAACATTAACGGAGAGAGAAATGGTTAATATTTTGATTGCTGATGAGATGAGATTGCAAGGAACATACAAACTGATTGTAAAAGCTTCTATAGGTATGAAAACAAGATTAATGAAGGCAAATGTAGGTCCCTTACAGTCAGAAACAGGGAAAGTTCTAATGAGGAACAAAGAAATAGCAGACAAATTGAGTACATTTTGATTTTGTCTTCACAAAGGAAGACACAAATAGTGTATCAAAAATTTTGGGGAACATGAGGTCTAGTAATAATCTACATCGCAGAATCCTTAAGGAAGTGGCCCGAGATATAGTGGATGCATTGGTGGTTATCTTTCGAGGTTGTATAGATTTTGGAACAGTTGCTATGAATTGGAGGATAGCTAATATAATTGAAAAAAAGAGGTAAAGAGAAAACAGGGAATTATAGACATGTTAGCCTGACATTGATAGTAGGAAAAATGTTAAAGTCCATCATAAAAGATTTAAAAGCAGAGCACTTAGGGTCGTAGAGATGTACAGCATGGAAACAGACCCTTCGGTCCAACTTGTCTATGCCAACCTGTCATTGCTGGATTGTCCATGCTGACCTAAATTAATCTAGTCCCATTTGCTAGCATTTGGACTATATCCCTCTAAATCCTTCCAGCAGGATAGAAGGGATGGAAAAGGTGGTGGGGAAGCTTGGTTAATTATAAATGAAATGAGGACTGTTGTGAGCATGATCTAGGCTCAGATGATGTAGAATCCATTTGGGTGGAGGTAAAAAAAGAATGCAAGGGAACGATGACATATGTAGGAGCAGTGTACACGCTCCCAAATAGTAGCCATTCTGTGGGAAACGCTGTAAGTCAACAAATAGGAGCATGTAAGAAGAATAGAGCAATAATTATGGGTGACATTAATCTTCTTGTTTATTGGGTTAATCAAATTGGAAAGGATAGATATGACAACAAATTCGTAGAGTGCATTAGGAATAGTTTCCTAGAGCAATATGTCATGGAGCCAATCAGGGAGCAGGCTATCTTGGATCTGGTATTGGGTAATGAAAGTAAGATTAATAAGTAGAGACTAGTGAGCCTCATGTCAGTGGTGGGTAAGTTGTTGAAGGGAATTCTGAAGGACAAGGTTTATATACATTTGGAAAAGCAAAGCCTGATCAGGGATAGTCAACATGGCTTTGTGTGTGGGAAATCGTATCTCACTAACTTGAAGAGGTGACAAAGATAGATGAGGGCATGGCAGTAAACATTGTCTGTGTGGACTTCAGCAAAGCGTTTGACAAAGTTCCACATGGTAGTAAAGTTAAATCACATGGGATCCAGGGGGAGCTAGCCAACTGGATACAAAATTGACTTGAAAGTAGGAGACAGAGGTTGGTGGTAGAGGGTTTCTTTTCAGACTGGAGGTCTGGGACCAGCCACAAGGTGCTGGGTCCAGTGCTCTTCATCCAGTGAATATTGGAGGCATGATTAGTAAGTTTGCAGAAGACACCAAAATAGATAGTGTAATGCGTAGTGAAGAAGATTATCTCAGAGTACAATGGATCAGATGGAGTTTATTTTAGATAAATGTGAGGTGTTGCATTTTGGTAAGGCAAACCAGGGCAGGACATACATAGTTAATGGTATGGCAGTGGGGAGTGTTGCCAAGCAAAGAGACCTAGGGGCACCGGTCCATAGTTCCTTGAAAGTGGAGTCGCAGCGAGACAGTGTGGTGAAGAAGACATTTGGCATGCTTGCCCTTCATTGGTCAGAACATTGTGCACAGGAGTTGGGAGGTCATGTTGTGGCTGTACGGGACATTGGTGGGGCCACTTCTAGAATACTGCACTCAATTCTCATTGCTCTTCTATAGGAAGGGGTTTGTTAAACTTGAGGGTGTGGAAAAGATTTACAAGGATGTTGTCTGGACTGGAGAGTTTGATTATAGGGAAAGGCTGAATAAGCTGAGGCTATTTTCCATGGAGCGTAGGAGGCTGAGGGGTGACCTTAAGAGGTGTATAAAGTCATTAGGGGCATGGATAGGGTGAATAGCCACGGTCTTTTTCCATGGGTGGGGAGTGCAAAACTAGAGGACATAGGTTTAAGGTGAGAGGAGAAAGATTTAAAAAGGACTGGAGGGGTAACTTTTCAAGTAGAGGGTGATGCGTGTATGGAACGAGCTACCAAAGGAAGTGGTAAAGTTGAATACAACTACAATATTTAAAAGGTATATGGATGGGCATATGAATAGGAAGAGTTTAGAGGGATATGGGCCAAATGCTGGCAAATGGGACTAGGTCAGATTAGAATATCTGGTCAGTGCGGGTGTGTTGGGCTGAAGGGTCTGTTTCTGAGCTGTCTGACTCTATGAAATGCCATCCGAATAAAAGATTCCCTTGGAAGTACTGATCATAACTTGATTAAATTTATAATTCAGTTTGAGAGTGAAAACCTTGGGTCAGAAACAACTGTGCTGAACTTTAATAAAGGAAATTACAATGAAGTTGTTGACAATGAAGTTACAATGCAGTCTTCCTTACTAACCTCTGGGGCTGCCTCAGACTAGTCAAGCAACAGCCTGACATAGTAAAACTCACGGAATCATACCTTACAGGCAATGTCCCAGGCATCACCATCATCATCCCTGGATATGTCCTGTCCCACCGGCAGGTCAGACACAGCAGAGGTGGCAGCACAGTGGCATGCAGTTGGGAGGAATTGCCCTGGGAGTCCTCAACGTTGGTTCCACACCCCATGAAGTCCTATGGCCTCAGGTTAAACATGGGCAAGGAAACCTCATGCTGATTACCATATGGTGTCCTCCCTTGGCTGATGAATCAGTACTCCTCCAGGGTGACAAGGGCACAAAATATACTGTGGGTAGGGGCTTTCAATGTCCATCACCAAGAGTAGCTCGGAGCAGTACCACTGATTGTGCTGGTCGGGTCCTAAAGGACATAGCTGCTAGACTGGGTCTGCAGCAGCTGATGAGGGAACCAACAAGAAGGAAAAATATACTTGACCTCATCCTTACCAGTCTGCCGGCGGCAGATGTATCTGTCCATAACAGTATCAGTAAGAGCAACCATTGCACAGTCCTTGGAGATGAAGTCCTGCCTTCCCATTGTGAGTAACCTCCAGCATGTTGTGTTGCACTATCATGGTGCTAAATGGGACAGATTTCAAACAGGTCTAGCAACTCAAGACTGGACAGCCAGGAGGCATTGTGGGCTGTCAACAGCAGCAGAATTGCACTCCAGCACAATCTGTAATCTCATGGCCCAGCATATCCCCCACTCAACCAGTACCATCAAGCCAGGGGATCAACCCTGGTTCAATGGAGCAGCACCAGGCATACCTGAAAATGAGGTGTTAAACTGATGAAGCTACCAAACAGGACTACTTGCATGCCAAACAGCATAAGCAGCAACTGATAGACAGAGCTAAGTGATCCCATAACCAACAGCTGAGTCTAAGTTCTGCACTCCTGCCATATCCAGCCATGAATAGTGATGGACAATTAAAAAAATCACTGGAGGAGGAAGCTCCACAAATATTCCCACCTTCATTGATGGAAGAGCCTTGCACATCAGTGCAAAAGATAAGGCTGAAACTTTTGCAGCAATCTTTAGCCAGAAGTGCCGAGTAGATGATCCATCTTGGCCTCCTCCGGTGATCCCCAGTATTACACATGATATCAAGAAACAGTTAGAGACACTGGATACTGCAAAGGCTACGGGCCATGGCGGCATTCCAGCAATAGTACTGAAGACTTGTGCTCCAGGACTTGCTGCTCCCTAGCCAAACTCTTCCAGTACAGTTACAGCACTGGCATCTATTCGACCAATGTGGAAAATTACCCAGGTATGTTGTGTACATAAAAAGCAGACAAATGAAACCCAGCAATTACCACCCCAGTCTACTCTTGATCGTCAGTAAAGTGATGGAAGGTGTCATCAATAGTGCTATCAAACAGCACTTGCTCGGCAATCACTTGATCAGTGATATCCAGTTTGGGTTCTGCCAGGGCCACTCAGCTCCTGACCTCATTGACCTCATTCAAGCATGAACAAAAGAGCTGAATTCCAGAGGTGAGGTGAGAATAACAGCCCTTTGCAGCCTTGATGTCTTCAACCGAGTGTGGCTTCAAGGAGCCCTAGCAATACTGGAATCAATGGGTATCAGGGGACAAACATTCCACTGGTTCAAGTCATACTTGGCATATAGGAAGGTGATTGTAGATATTGCAGATCGATCATTTCAGCTCCAGGACATCTCTGCAGGTGTTCTTCAGGTTAGGGTCCTAGGTCCAACTATCTTTAGCTGCTTTGTCAATGATTATCCTTCCATCATAAGGTCGGAAGTGAAGGTGTTCGCTGATGAATGTTCAGGACTGTTCGCAACTCCTGAAGCAGTCCATGTTGAAATGCAACAAGATCTGGACAATATGCTGTCTTGGATTGACAAGGGGCAAGTAACATTTGCGCCACACAAATGCCAGGTTATGACCATCACCAATAAAAAACAAATCCAACCATGATACTTTTATATTCAATGGTGTTACCGTCACTGACTCCCCTGCTGTCAACATCCTGGGGTTTACCATTGACCAAAAACTCAACTGGATTCGCCACATAAACAGTGACTATGAGTACAGGTCAGAGGCTAGGAATACTGTGACGAATAACTCACCTCCTGACTCTCCAAAGCCTGTTAATCATCTACAAGGCAGAAGTCAGGAGTGACGGAATATTCCCCACTTGTCTGGATGAGTGCAGCTCTTACAACACTCAGGAAGCTTGATACCATCCAGGACTAAGCAGTCCACTTGATTGCCACTGCATTCACAAGCATCAACTTCCTTCATTACCAGTGTCAGTAGCAGCAGTGTACTATCAACAAGATACACTGCAGAAATTCACCAAAGATCCTCAGACAGCACCTTCCAAACCCAGGACCACTTCAGTTCAGAAGGTCAAAGGCAGCCAATACATTGGAACACTGCCACCTACAAGTACCCCTCCAAACCACACACCATCCTTCCCTCTCTTTGCTTGGTCATAATCCTGGAATTCCCTTCCGAATGGTATTGTGAGTCAACCCACAGCAGCTGGACTGCAGCAGTTCAAGAAAGCAGCTCACCACCTCCTTCTCAAGGGCCACTAGTGACAGGCAATAAGTACTGACCAACCAGTATCCAACAAAGACATAACAAAACATGTTCTCGTGCGACAACATGTGGAGTATTGTGAGCAGTTTTGGCTTCTGTATTTAAGGAAAGATATCATTTAATTGTAGGTAGTTCAGAGAAGGTTTACTAGGATAATCCCTGGTATGGAGGGTTGTCTTATGAGCAAAGGATAAACAAGTTGGGACTCTGCTTACTGAGAGTTTAGAAGAATGAGCATTGATCTCATTGAAGCATGTAGGGTTCTTGAGGAGCTTGACAGGGTAAATGCTGAAAGGATGTTAGGACCAGAAGGCGTAGTCTCAAAATAATAAAGAAGTGCCAATTTAAGACTGAGATGGAGAGGAATTTCTTCTCTCAGAGTTCTGTGGGGCAGAGTCCTTGTGTATACCCAAGGGTCAGAAGGGAAATCAAGGTTTAAGGAGAAGGGCAGGCAAGTGGACATAAGGCATGTTGGATCAGCCATGATCTTATTGAATGATGGAGCAGGCTCAAGGGGCTGAATGGCATACTCCTGTTTATGTTACTTATGGTCTTATAGCCTTATGTGATTTGGACATGTTGAGTGGGTGTGCAAATGCATGGCAGATGAAGTATAATATGGATATATGTGAGATTATCCACTTTGGCTGCAAAAGCAAATGATAGTGAGTAGCATGCAGGTGCAGCAAGTGGTGAAGAAGGCAAATGATATGTTGGCCTTTATATCAAAAGGATTCAAAGACAGGAACAGGGATGTTTTGCTGCAATTGTACAGCCCTTGTGTGGACCATTGTATGTAGTTTTGATTTCCTTATCTGAGGAAAATCTGAACAAATTATAGTTCAGAGCAGGGAGGTTATGCATTGAGTGAACTCATCACATTCTATGATATAAGTTCCTGGAGGCATTTTTAAAAATTTACTTGTGGTTAAAAGGCGGGAGAAATATAATCTTTTTCTATTTAATTATGCTCATATTAATAGCCATAAGGAGGGTGTAAACCTGAAACGTGAACTTTCCTGCTCCCATGATGCTGCCTGACCTGCTATGTTCCTCCAGCTCCACACTGTATTGACATAAATAAATACTACTGTTTCCTGTACCAGATTCTGTGCCAAATACATCTGATGATGAAGGCCGGTACAAGATAGGGAACCAAGCCAGCGTTGGGAGATATAATCTCGACAAATTGCGGAAGGCTCTGAAGTCTTTATTGAACCATAAGCAACAGCTGTTGTGAGTAGTGCTTACAGTCTTCAATGCCAGCTGACTTCCTAACATATCCAGCACAGGATTTAGTTTGTTTTCCCAGACATAATAAAATAACCAGGAGTTGACCAGTATTTTCCTGTTTGAAAACGAGGCACCAAGTTGTGTTTACAAAAAGTATTTCCTCTAAATTAAGCTGGGAATTATAATTAGGAGCAATCTTGATGCTGTTGTTTTGAAGCATGTAATGGTAAGGGTATTTGAGAATTTAATGGATATCAACCCAGTTTAAAAACTAAAGAAAATGTGTCATGTATTATATCCAACAGCAATAACAACTTAGAGTCATAGAGTCATACAGCATGGAAACAGACTGTTTGGTCCAACCAGTCCAGGCCGACTTATCCAAAACTAAACTAGTCCGACCTTCCTATGCTTGGCCCATATCCCTCCAAACATTTCTTGTTAAACCACTTATCCAAATGTCTTTTAAACGTTATAAGTGTACCCTCATCCACCACTTCCTCTGGAAGTTCATTCCCCACACAAACCACTCAAAAAAATGCCCCTCGTCTTTTTTACATCTTTCTCCTCTTACCTTGAAAATATGCCCTCAATCTTGAAATTTCCCCACCATAGGGAAAAGATGCCTGCCATTCACCTTATCTATACCCCTCATGATTTTATAAACCTCTTGTATTTATATTTAACTTATATTTATCATTGAATCATTTATTTATTGTCACATGTATTCAATGTAAAATAAAGTGAAAAGTGTGTACCATTGCCATGCATAGGCGCCATTCACATTAACTTAAAATAAAAATAAAGAAAGACTCCTTAAAGAGAGTCCAACTTTTCCTCCAATGCTACAGTCCTGCCCAGGCTTCACCAGCCCACACCATGCCGCTGCCAGAGTCCCGCTCCGGGGTGCACCAGCCCACACTATGCCGCTGCCAGAGCCCCATTCCAGGCTTCCTAGCCCATGCTGTGCTGCCACCAGATGCCCACTCTGGGGTACACCAGCCCACTCTATGCCACCACCAGGGCCCACTCCATGCAGAAGTTAGAGTCCCACTCCAGGCTTCACAGACCGGCTGACTCTGTAACCACGCTGCCTCTGAAGACGCCACCACCACTCCGGAACCCATCAAACCACCTTCCTACCCAAGAGCTCTCTTTATCAGCTTAATTTGAGCGAAAACTAAATAAAACATTGTAAAACAACTGAGAATCATAAAGACAGTCACCAAGTCATACAGCATGGAAACAGATCCTTCAGCCCAACCAGTCCATGCCGACTATCATTGTAAAACATTGTAAGTCATTTCAGAGGCCATTAACTATAATAAAAAATGAGGATAGGACATCAAAAGGTTTAGTAGACAGGTAAACAGGTTTTAAGGAAGAGAGAGAGGTTGTGAAATTTAGGGAGGGATTCCTAGAGTTTAAAGCCTTGTCAGGAGAAAGCAAGCTGCCAGTGGTGGACTGAATGAAATTCAGGATGCACAATAGGCCAGAATTCTGTGAAAAGATCAGTGAAAATGTTTTTGTTGCTAATTTAATTCTGGCATTCCCAAAAAATTAATATAGATATTTTACTGAAAACAATTATCCAGATTATTTGTAGCTGTTTTTGTTCTAATGTTTTGTCTGTAATTTTCCTTTGTTTGAATTGTGATTTCTCTTTCAACTTAACTCTCTGCACAACCTGGAAACCGTCTTCCAGAATCTTCAAGAAAGAGTTAGACTGCATGCCATGATTTTTTTGGGAAGTTATATATTTTAGTCTAATTGAGTAAACCGATTACTCCATGATCATGTTGTTTATCCCAAATAATCAAATTCAAATGTTAATGAATCATCTTTTTTTGATATGGTTTTCTACTGTGCTGGATACCGTTATTAAACTAATAGTTCCTCTTTCTGCATTGTTTTAAATGAATGAAGTATACTACCTGTTGTGGTCTCAACTATAATGTACAGCATGGATGTGCCACATGCTGACTTTATCAGATGAGCTTCCTTGGCCTATTGATCGTTCTAGCCTTCTGTTTGCTTTTGATTTCAGATTGTAAATGCCTCAGTCTGGTTGCGCACATTTCAGACCAGCTTTATAACTCAAATGTTCTGCTAAGCAGATGCTCACAAAACTACAATGACACCATTAGTCCCACAATTTAAACATTTTTAAAATGTAGATTTCGTGGAAATTTCAGTTGATCTGTTTATGCAATCTTTTGTATTTCTGTTTTTGTTTTTAAATTATTAGTGATTAAGATAAAGTAATTTTTGCTACAGTTGGAAAATCATTCAGATTGTAAAGAAAATAGGATCTGGATCTGCAAACTTATGTCTTGAGTACCTCCCTACTGACCTATCTCTTGTGAATCCAGCTCTAGTTTATTGGTCAGGAAGAGGGAATTTGTGTGCCTTAGGTTTGAGAGTGGTTCACCACATCAATAAATAAATTTGCTTAAATAATTGTTTCTTTAGCATCAGATTTTTTCACATATGTCAATCTCACTGCAGATGGCTTTGTTCAAAAAAATGCCAGCATATAACAGTGGTTTACATACGCAACTGCAATAAAACCAGAAGTCTACATTGTCTGCAGTCACGCAGCTAAGCATCATCTGCTGCTAAGATCTCATTTTCTGCTGAGGGTTCTCCAGCTTTATGGTTTCATCCCAGGAAGTTTGCTTTATTTCTACTACTGATTTCCAGCTAAGTCCTCTCATCCTGCAGCACTTCCTTATTTTTAAATTTCTCTTCTCTTGTTTTATCTTCTCTAGCATTTGACTTATTGTAAGCGGAGCCCCATTCTGCTCTGGGCAGCCTTATCCTTTTCAAAAAGAAGTGGCTAAATTAGCAAGGAAAAGGCCCCATATTTATGTAACAGTGGGGTAATTTTACTTACCCTAAGGTGTCTTTTCAGGACACTGTTTATCTCTGTTTCTGCAGTTTTATTGTAACCGTTTTGTCTGGGAATTCAGAGGCATGGGAAACTTTACCATAAAAGGAGTCAGGGGATCTGATCCATAAGGTGGGTTAGCAAGAGCCAGAATGTTTCCTCCAGGCTCAACAAGCATATTGCTTTCTTCTACTGCTCTCAAATCCCTCCCTGCCACTTCTGCAATATCTCAACTCTGACCATGATAATTGCATTGACTGTAATCACTCCTGATTGCGATCTCTTCTCAACTGTAGTCACTTTTCAGTCATGAATCTCTTGACTTAAGCACAACTTTTTTCCTCAACCAAGCTGCTGACCACCATTTCTTTCCACTGACCAAAATATCTCTTCTCACACCCATTCATGATTTCTTTCCCTACGCTATCTTGCATGATTTCACCAGGCTTTCCAGCTAATGATGAATAGTTTGCTGATTTAGACTGGCTATTGGATGGAAGACCTGGTGAGAAAAGGTTTGTTGAGCTAATTTCAGTCGGATGTATTTTAGGAGCTTCCCATGCAGAACTACCAACCCTGTAAATAACGGGCCCAATGTTGTACATTGGAGAAAGCTATATATTCTTGAAGAAGCAACTTGGAGGTACTTTCATCTAGATTCAACCTATTTTATACTTGAATGAAACTTGTATTTATACACTTACATCTTGTGTAAGTGCTCATATATAGTATCTGCCAAGGGACAAGTAAAGCACTGAATGTGTGTTTTAGGGTAGTTTAGAATGCAAAAGAATTTCTTATTAATCAAGTATCCAGTGTTGAAGTGGTGGTTAAGAAATTACATAGGAAATCCCACTTCTGTTAGAATCCAATTGTTAGCTTCAAACTGACTTCTTAGGTGGACCTTAAACAAAAGAAAGATATTTGGAAAGGGAAATCTGGGACTGCATTCGTCCCCACTGTGTATATATAATTCATATAATGTGTAATATTATGTAAGCATCTGTTCAATTTTCAGGTTATCTACCACATGTTCAGATCGGAGAATTATGGGCAATTGGCAAACAGTTTTTCTAAAGTTTACTCCTGGCATCTAAGGACTCAGAAAATCTAACCTAGGGAGTGCCAAATGTTAAACCTCTTAGTTCATGGAATCCATGCATCCCAACAAGTCCACACCGACCCTCATAGCATCTCACCCAGACCCATCCCCCTATAACCCACTCATCCCTGAACACTATGGGCAATTTAGCATGGCCACCTAGCCTGCACATCTTTGGATTGTGGGAGGAAACTGGAGCACCTGGAGGAAACCCACACAGACATGAGAAGAATGTGCAAACTCCACACAGACAGTTGCCCGAGGGTGGAATCAAACCCAGGACCCTGGTGCTGTGAGGCAGCAATGCTAACCACTGAACCACCAGTTGGTGAAGGAGGATGCCAGAGGACATCTTTACCCAGTTTGCGATTTATTCAGAAAATGAATCATTACAATTTTCTCTAAAAGCCTGCCCCCAACCAAACTCAATCTGTACCTCTTTATATGTGCATAGGTAGTTATCCGATGAATATCCCCATCTGTGTACAGGAGCCTAACTTACACAATTTACAGATTGCCCTTTTCTTTACTAAATAACACTTAACTAACACCCAGATGAACAATATCTCACAACAAAGCAAAGAGGAAAAAAAATTCTCCATGCACTGTATAACACCTTATATCACTACATATGTCTCTTCTAGGATCACCAATAAACTTTTGGTACAAGCACTTCTTCTCAAGAAACAATCAAATACTTGATCCCTTGCATCAACTCATTTTATTTTGGAAGCTTATTTATTTTTAACATCTGTTTCATGCCAGCACTATCATTTTTTTTTTTCACATACTACTCCTGTAGAGCAGACATTATCCCACAAGGTACAATTATTTATCCCATGTCGTTTGGAATGTTTGTCGTTTGTCCAGAAAATATGACACATTCTTTCCACATAATGGGCCCAGTCCTTGACTGTAGAGTTGAGCAAATCAAATTTCCTAAACAAAGTCATGATGTAAGAAATGCTTACCCCAACTCAAAGATGACTGTTGTGAACAAGTTTCTTCAGGATCATGCTTTACTCTCATCAATGAGAAGCTGGTATCCTTCCACTAAGTCACCCATTATTTACACATGAACAGTCCTTGGATTTTAGTACTACCTCGTCAGAACCAGCTCTCAGAGTGCCAACATCTCTGACATCTTTGATGCTGGTGACCACCCCTCTTTATCTATCAGCCAGGACTCCCTGATTGGACCAGATTAACAGCACCAGTCAGGGAACTCATATTCTATGAGGTCCAGCTGACTGAACTCATTACAATCACAACAGATCTAATTTATACATATGCACACTAATGAGGGAATCTATTAGCATGAAATATTTAAGACATATTCAACAAGCAAGTTTCACAGCTTTCTGCCTGTTGGGATACCTGGGTGATGATGGCTGGCACTTGGAACTCTATCTCAGTTTCTGCTGTACCAGTTTGGTGAATCCCTGTCCGATGGTGAAAGGTCTACCGAGCTGGGTAAAGACTCTAATATTAATACTACTCTGAAACTAATATTACGTGCTGTACTGTTGTCTTTGACCACATCGGCCAAGCATTCTATTGTGAAAAAACAAATCCAGGTGTCACTGCCAGACAGCATGTAGAGATAAGGTCATTGCAGTTACATTCTAGCCAAAACAAGCTATTTTTACACTAGGCCTGTTTTAACATATTTTCCTTCAATTACTTATTGTCTTGTCCCGATTAATCCTTAACTATCTTGTTTGGAAATATCATTTTTAAGCTTAACACTACCCTCCGCCCTTTGACATCTTCAGAACAGATGATCAGTTCCTTACATAAGCACATACATGTTGTTCCATAGTCACAAGCTGACTATACACATGATAAAGTTTAAAATTGCCCCATGTTTAACTGGTGCCAGGTTATGCATGAACTTAAAAGATTTTCCAGGTGTTTCTTCGCTTTTACCCAATTCTTCAGTATTTCTGCACCCCCCTCATCCCTAGTTGTAATTTTTACCTCCCTCTCACCAATACTACTTCTATTATTTTAAAGGATTATGTATCAGCGCCTCATCATTTAAACCATGTTTTTGTGCTCTTCCAGACCACACTAACCATTTTGTCAAGCAGGTGTACATGATCTTCAATATGTTTTTGCCATGTATTCCTGCATTTTAGTTACTTCTGATGTAAAACCACCTGTGCATACTTACATTGGTATCCCAGCATTATGCCACGCATTCTTGACTTACAGGCAATCTTTTTGAAAGATCAAAAGTTGGTGGGAGGTACCTATGTGTTCTCCTTGCCGGTCCCAATGTTCTGGGTGGTGGCCAGATCATCCAATTCACTTCCTTTAAAACAATCACATGGGTAAAGGCAGGCGTATATTGAAGAGAAAATTGTTAATTATTGATTTCTGTCTACACTTATATTTCATGGGATATATTCCATTTAACTGTATGTAAATGACTCATTCCCATCTCCATTTGGTGTTGTGTCAATTTTTCCCTGTTACTATTATTTTATTCGAAGTGTATCCCCATTAATTGCCATTATAACTGATTCAGGACCTCTGGAGAAACCTTACAGTCCAGAGGGAGAGAAAAACAACATATATTCATAATAGCTTTAAAAGAGACAAGCAAGCATTATTCTTGTGTGATTTCAAGCATTATTAAACTTTGTTTAAGATAACACAGTGTGGAGCTGGAGGAACACAGCAGGCCAGGCAGCATCAGAGGAGCAGGAAAGCTGACGTTTCCGGTCGGGACCCTTCTTCAGAAAAAAAGGAGCATTATCTAACAAGTTACATTTGCGAACACTGTATGTAATTTTTTGTAAGAAAGACCAAACAAAGAAAGTTTAATTCACTCGGAGATAGTAGGATAGTAAGAATAAAGAAGGGTCCTGACCCGAAACATCAGTTTTCTTGCTTCTCTGATGCAGCCTGACCTGCTGTGTTCCTCCAGCTCCACACTATGTTATCTCTGACTCCAGCATTGGCAGTTCTTACTATCTCTGAGTGAATTAAACTTTGTTTGTTTGGTCTTTCTTACAAAAAAGTACGTAGTGTTCTCAAATGTATTTTGCTAGATTATACTCCTTTCAAAATTATTCCAAATTCAAACTTGACAACAATAGACTCAAAGATTTCTTTGCGAACAGCTACAGTATTATTGGAATGACAGGTTTCATTAATGGTCAGTTAATTTCTTTCTAACAATGTATCCCATTTTATTCTGATACACATTAAAATAATCTAGACTGTTTCTATTTGCTGTTGTTTTAAATTAAAATTTGTAACATGTATCGAGTAATTTTATCAATCTTGATTTCAGAAACAATTATGTCCAGACTTGGTGGTTTTAAACAGTGCTGTGATATTGAAGATTCAGTTGAGGTTTCTCCTGTTTTTAAAGACTTTGTCTCCACAAGACTCCCAGCTCCCTCTCTCTGTTCTTGAGACCTGTTCAAAAACAAAAAAAGAAACAAAACCACTGTGGCTCAGGATGAAGCTCTGTGGGTCAATAATGTCCAGAATATAGTCCTGTCCAAAATCACACATCTTCTTGCACAGAAGGTGTGTGAGAAGATTTAAAACTGTCAAAATCTCCTGATAATTTCAAACTGGGATTTTAAATTTCCTAGTTGGTTCTTTTAAGACCACCTTCAAAAAGCATGCAGACAAACCATGTCTCATCCCAGATTCTTAAGTTTAATTTGAATATTTTCCAAAAACTTTCTATGTTTTCAGAACAAGCTAAATCAATTTTTCACAACATATTTTCTATAGCAATTAAAGAAAAACACTTTATAAATTTCCAATGAAATAAGATTTGGACATCTTGAACCTATGATCTTTTTGGGTCCTTGTTTTAGTAATGATTTCAGACAAATACAAAGGATGCCCTCCTTGTAACTGTCATGGGAACTGTCTGTGAATACAATGCAGTTTTCACAGAGGGTTCTTCAAGTTCAGTAGCAGAAAGGGACTTGCTGATCTCTAACTGTGCCAAAGTGTCCTACTTCTTTATCCACCCCTTCTGACTCATGGGTAACATCACACACTGGCTTTGACTCACTACACAGGAATGGAACAGTTGGGGAAATGCTGTCAACTACATTCTCAAGGTTACTTGTCTTGCCTTACAAGATAACAGTTCCAGCTGCAGTCTGTTCACAGATTTTTGTCTTTTTGTCATCAGTTTCAACATCAATATTCAGTTTGTCCAATTGAACTGCTGGGTCTACCCATAGTCTTTTCTTCATATTGCAGATAATGGGTACAGTGCTTTCCTGTTGGTAATCAATTTTAACCTGCAGCCCTTTTACCAATTCCCACAGCTTTCTATTTTCTTTATCCAACTATAAAGCACTATAATGGACAGTTTCTAACTCAGTTGTTCCTTTCATAACGAATTTCAAATGTCTATCAAGGGCACACTCATAATTACCATCACATATTTCACAAGTTCCAGGACACCTCTTACTGCTGATGATCCTAACTTTTCCCCTAAACAATCTATCAGTCATATTTTCAAATATGCCAGTGACACTACAACTTCAATTAAAGGCTGCTGCTTCTCAAACTTAAAGCCAATTAAACCGTTACTCCTGTGATACATCAGTTAGTTAGGAAAAGAAAAAACGCAACCGTGACAACTGGCAATGGCTCACTGATATTACAGGGCAAACAAGCTGCCAACATGGAATGTTTCGGTCTCGTTCAAATCGTGGTGGTAACATCCTGCTCTCCAGCCAAAGTGTTGGGGAACTTTCCCTCAGTCTTCCTCCTCTCCTTTTTCCTTCTTGAACATTTTGCATTTCTTCACAGCACCAGTTGTTAGAATGAAAGTGCTAAACAGGTTCTTTAAGTTCTGATCAAAATGAATACAAGAAGACATGTGCATTTTGAATAAAGCAAATTTATTAGCTTAATCTAATTTAGACATGCAAACTAATGAGTGAATCTATTAGTTTAAAACTGCTTTAGATATATTCAACAGGTTAGTCTCACTGCCTTCTGCCCACTGGGGACTCCTGGGGGATGGCTGACACTCTATCTCCGTTTCCACAGCACTGGTGTCATGAACCCCAGTCTGCTGGTGAATGCCCGTGACCCTGGTCTAGTGAACCCCAAACTGATGGTGAACGTCCCGATGGTGAAAGGTTCCCCGAGCTGGGAAGAATCCCAATTTTAATACTATTCTGAATCTGATATTAACGTGCTATATTCCCATCTCTGAGTACTTCTCCCAAGCATTCCTGACCAGACATTTCATCTGTTCAAAAGTTACATGCCCCTTAATGTAGCAAAATGTTCAAAGCAGCATGAGGAAGATTGAAAACAAAAAAAATTCCTTTCAGCTATGTATTGACATTATTCATAATACATTTATCAGAAAGCATATCTGGGCGATTTTGTTCCCATTAATTAGTCAAAACTATTGTTCACCAGTTTGTAAGATAGCATGGAAATAACACTGTTCAGAATTTTAATTTCTTTTACTTCCACCAGTGGAAGTGCCAAACTACACAGAGTGAGAACCTGTGACAAAACATGACATTAGAAGTATACATAGAAGTAAGACTTTGAACAATGTGTAGACAACTAAGACAGTTATTTAGTAGCGGAAATAGCATATACTGCTTAGTGTAAGCAATGTCAGAAATGTCTGTCACACTTTAAGACTAATTCACGTTTTTACATGCAGTATTTCTCACAAATGTTTACTTAATTTCTATTGGATTTCTAGGGCTGAACAAATATTAAAAGGATATCCTGATCTTTATCAGACCAAGTAAGTGTTCATTTTCATTTATAAGAAGAGATATGATGAGTGATTTGTGTTTTACATTTGGTAAGCCATTCTTTCAGTCAAAGAAAGTACTTAAAAACTGTACATTTTATCTGTACATGTTCTCAATGTCTAGTGTAATTCACAGTCAAAATTTTCAGAGCAGTCATTGTGACCATTTAGGTAATTTAGCAACTAATTTGTATGCAGCAAATTCTCCAACTGTAAGGGAGTTTATTAACCAGTTAAGCTGTTTTATTTGAGCAATAATTTAGCCAAGACACCAGCAGAACCTTCTGAAATAATTTGCATTTTTATGCCTAATGAGTAGGCATTCAAGCCCTAGTATAATAGCTGTTTTGAAAGGTAGCCATTTCTCAGTGCTGTACAGAATGTTTTGTGGGGTTATGTGCCCAAGTCGTTGCAGTACAGCTTGAGCCCATAATTTTCTGATTCTGAAGCGAGACAGTTACCAGTGAGCCAAATTGACATAATAACAAGGGGACACCTAAGAAGTGGAAAAGGAAAAAACAATTGTCATAAATTCCAGCAAGAATGGATGTATCACAGAATACCTTTGAAGCCCTATTTTGGCTGCTGCACTGACACAATAATTAAATCCTTTGTTTGGTGTCATGCCAAGCCATAGAAAACAAGAAAGTAAGTGGATCAAAGATGGAGCAGTGATGAATCATTTTTCTTTTTAAAAATTATAACCTTTTCCTGAGGGACATAATAATACTGGCAGAAAGGGCATTATAAAGAATGGTACTCTGCAATACCAAGTGATAGTTTGAACGTCGGGTATAATGATTTCCCATCGCTTCAGAGCGTCAGTCTCAACTGTGCATGCATACAAAGCGATGACCAAGCATAACAATGACTATAGGTCAATAGTTTGATGAAAGCAGATCCTTCTCACACAATGAGTATAAAGCCAGGAAGCTCTGCATCTTAACAACATTGCAGGGCATTTTTATGTTAGAGACCTAGAGACTATTAATACCAAGCCCACTTGATATCCTGCAGTCTGGAGGTTATGATTGCTAGTTCACGCACCCATTAGGCAGTCGTGGACTGCAGATGAATGAAAGCTATGTTACGAGTCACTGCTATTGATTCACATATGAAGAATGATCAGATGAGGTCAAGAGCAATTATCACCTTTATTCTGGCATGAACATTCAGCAGAACATGGAAGAAAGCTGGAAAAAGAATGAAAGCCCATTGTTCTTACTTCTCCCCTAAGAGCCAGTCTTTAACAAACATTCCTCCATGGTTTGAAATATTAATGGCAGGGACTACCAGCACCTTACACCTTTGTATCTTATAAAAATAAACACCAAGTTAAGGCTGATTTAGCCTATTAAATCTTCACATATTACATCGAAGTTGGATATTGTCTTTACCTCTCCTCCACATTTTCCATTGATTTTTACCTCACCTTTCCTGAAAGCAGTGAAAAACTCTGGGTTGGGAGTACTGATCCAAAAATGTGGAACATAATGGTACTATTTATTGAAATGCAGCCACTGTGAAGCCAAATCCCTTGCTTCAGCAAACTATTAGGCAGATAGAGTAGCTTTGTAGTGGACCCTGGAAAGAAAATAAAGTAATTGATTTGGTTTTACACTTAGTCTGGCAGCAGTAGATCCAGAGAATTCCCACAATAGCCTTGGAATATGTTTTGACTTACAAGGGATTTTTCTATCCTCCAAATGGTCCTAAGGTGTATAAGAACTCAAAATAAATTCATCTGTAAATATACAAACCCTCAAACTATGTTGCACTTTCAGATGCTGAATAGAAACTGCTTGTATCTTGTTAGAATTTGCGTTGAAATTAAAGTCCATTCATGTTTCTGTTTCCAGTCCGTTTGCCTTGTAATAAAAAAGCTTTTGAAAATTTACCTGAAAGTGCTATTTGGTAAATAGATGTCATTAACAATGACGTTATAACTCATTACTTTCTAATCAATTTTTAGATTAATGGAATTATTCAAAGCAAAGTTGGGCTTGATTGGACACGATAATAATGATGACTATTTGATTGCCTACTTGTTGAAGGTAAGCTTATTACTTCAGTAAATTTGAGACCATACGTTCAGCTACCTCTATTGTTTTTCACCCTCCCTTGTACAATAAGCCAAACAGCCCTGCATGCAAACCTTACCCAAGTTCTGAAGCTGTATCTTTCTTTAATTGCTATTCTATCTCACCTTGAGTCCTCAGAGCTCATTTTATTTATGGAACTGTCTTCTTGCACTTTGACCCTATTTCTACTAAACTACTGTCAATGAACTTTCCTGTTGACCTCCATGTTAGCTGATACTCTTAAAACTTTCCTCCTGTAGTGTTCAAAGCTACTGTTGGCACTTTGTTCTGAATATCTAACTCTAGTGTTTGACGGTAATTAGGCTGAGGAGAAATGTCTTGGCTGTTGAAATAGAGCTATAAGTGCTAAAAGCTAAGCAATGCTTAAGTGTATACTGGAAAATTGTTCCTCTTTGCAGATTTTTACAATGCGGGACCTTATAAGGCGGCTATGTTTTAAATTGTCTTTTTTAATTTAAGGCAAAACCGGGCTGGATTTTGCAGGGTCAGGGAGACTCAACAGACCTTTAAAAATAGCTGATGGGAAGTGATTCCATTCCCATTCTTGACATCAGTAATTTTTGTCAGTGTGTTAGAAGGGTGCAGGGAATAATCCTCCATCTTGCATTTTGAGGCTTGCCAGAGAGCCAGGACTTCTATTAGTTTGTTGAAGTAGCTGCTGAAAAAGGTAAACATTGTCTGATTGACAGTGTTTTCTCTTACATTTTTTTTTAATATTTTTGCAAGATTTTCATTATTTTTACAAGATACGGAGGTGTCAGGTGCTGGTACCTTCTCCTATTAATATTTTGATGTCTGGTTAGCTAACACCATTATAGGGTTGTAGTAACAGCAATTTATTTTTAAAAAGTTCTGAACCACTGAACTTTAAGATTTTTTACACATGCCATTGTTACTATAGGCTTCACTAGTTCTGTACATGAGATTATACAGGACTACTGAGAGGTAGTGGAGGGGCATGGGTTGGCATGGGATACATGAAGGGCTGTTGGCTTTGTTCAGATGCATGGATTTAAATGGAGGGTATGAGATGCCTTTGAGAGAGGATGGCGGAGCAAGGATTATCATGGATAGCGCGTGGGAGTGGGTGAGGGTGAGAGGGCCCCTTATTGAATGAAACACCTGCAAGGAGTGGAGGGGCATCTTTGTGTCCACCTTGAATTGTTTCTATGGGCAGTGGACTTGTCTCCAACGTACCCCCACTCCCAAGAGCAAAAATTTTGAAACACTGTTTCCTGAGGCTCTGCCACTGGGCCAGGAGACTTTCTGACTCCTGCGACCCATCTGTAACATTACATATTCAATCCGAAATGTCTTCAAATGGAGGATGCTGAAATTGTCTTAAAATTTACATGGAGACAGGTCCAGATGACTTGGTTGCTGTGACCGACTTTCAACTGTAAAGACCTAGAGCAAGAGAAAGAGCGAGAGAGGTGCTGCTCGTTGGAGAAGCAGAAAAATTATGCATGGGAGAGCAGGATGCTTAAATGAGTTAATTTTTTTGATGGAAAAGAAGAAGAAAGAATGGAACTTTTGGAAATTTAACAACCAAGAAGTTACCAGAATCTGGCTGGAAGTCAGTTCGAGGATACTTAGAACACTGAGTGAAGTGACTTTCAAAAGACACTATAAAACCTTTTTGATAATGTAGAGTGTTAGTTGCCTAGAATTATAGAATTCCTACAGTGTGGAATGAGGCCATTTGGCCCATCAAGTGTGCACTGACCTTCCAAACAGCAGTCCACCCAGACCCAGCCCCCTATCCTATCCCCATATTCCCACATTTATCATGGCCAATCCCCCTAGCCGACATATCCCTGGACACTATGGGCAATTTAGCACGGCCAGTCCACCTATCCTGCACATCTTTTGACAGTGGGAGGAAACTGGAGCACCCAGTGGAAACCCATGCATTCACAGGGAGAATGTACATACTCCACATATACAGTCACTTGAGGAATCAAACTTGGCCCTGTGAGGCAACAGTGCTAACCACTGAGCCACCACGCTGCCTAATAAGGAATGTTTAGGCTGTGTTGATTTTAGTTTGTTTATTATAGTAAAATCTTAAAATGTGAATTGTGGTCACACAATTCTTTTGGATGCCTGAAACTTCATTTTTCTTTTAAAGTGTTATCATTTTTTATAGTAATTGCAACAAGGAATCCTTATTTTCTACAATTTTCTTTAATATAATGGGTACTTGTTTCATGCATTTTAGAATACAAAAAAGCTTTTAAAAAGCATTTAATCTTTTAGCACAGTTTCTTGTGCTTTGGTAAACTCTCTGAAAATGGAAACTTAAAGCTATCAAGAATTTTAAAATAAACAGGGTTGCACTGGGAACACCTTAATAAACTCTTTCATTTTTATAGCTGATGGAAGATACAAGAGCAGATTTCACGATGACATTTCGTCAGCTTAGTGAGATTACGCAACAACAACTTGCGGCTAACAGTATTTCTGAGGTAAATGGTATGGTCATGTTTACTTTCCACACAAGTGAACCAATTTTAACTTCGTCCACTTGGGAAAGCAGTAGCTTCCTGCTTTAATTTGACAGATTGATCCCTAGCAATGTAATTGAGGCCCAACCTCAAATTTTAACCTGTAGCCTGTATGTAGAAATTGTGATTTCATCACAAGGTCAACCTTGTAAGTAACTGAGGAAGAGGAGTACTCTTCTGAAGCCTAGATAGAGATCTTGGGCTTCCCCAACCCTGGGTTGCTATTGTCATTAGCCCGTTCTTGCAAATCCTTTGATAGCAGCTGTGAAATACAGAAAAATCTTGACTACAGTGCTAAAAGCTAAACCATGCTAAACTATTTTTTCCACAAAGAAGGTTCCAACCACCCTGTCCTGGATATGCTCTCCATTTGCTAATCACCTCCGTGCCAATAATCTCCTAGTTGCTCAGCAACCCTTCAGGTGGATTTCGGCAAGCGATTGATATAGACCATAAAGTTGAGGTCAGACTGTCCCAGGCATCTTGCTCTGGAGTGCTTTGCAAGCTGCATTTTTAACTTAGACATTAAAACTGAGTCTTAAAATTCTGTGGGTGGTCTAATAGGACTGTGGCAACTTTACCTTTAAACCCTTATGGTTAACTAAACAGAATTGATGAGCAATTTATGATGTAATGTCAAAATGTAGTAGACACAAATATCATCATGGAAATAATATGGAGCCAAAGATCTAGTTGGAATCAGAAACTTAAGAAATCTGAACAATAAAGAACATGCTCGAGAAATTAATGGGTCCAAAGTTGACAAGTCCACTGGACCTGGTGACCTGCATTCTAAATTCCTACATGAGTTGGTTGCAAGATTCACTAGTTTTGAGCTTGCAGAATTAATGGGTCCAAGGTTGACAAGTCCACGGATCTGGCGACCTGCTGGGCTGAAAATTGGCAAGTGATGATCACACCACAGAAATGACAGGTAATGCCTATTTCCAATATGATGCAATCTAACCAGTGCCCCTTGACATTCAGTGGCATGCCCAGCATTCTCCCACTATCAACATTCTGGGGTTACCATTGATTAGAAGCTCAACTAGACTCACTATATAAATACAGTGGCTACAAGAGCAGGTCAGAGACTAGGAATACTGAAGCCAATAACTCACCACCTGGCTCCCTGAAGCCTTTCCACCATCTACAGGGCTGAGGTCAGGACTGTGATTGATTACTCCCTACTTGTCTGGTTGGGTGCAGATCCAACAATACCCAAGAAGCTCCCCAACATCCAGGACAAAATAGCCTGCTTGATTGGCATCACATGACAATCATCCACGGTCTCCACCACTGATGTGCAGTAGCAGCAGTGTGTATTACCTCTAAGATGCACTGCAGAAATTTTTCAAAGATCTTCCAAACCCACGACCACAATCTAGAAGTACAAGGGCAGCAGACACATGGGAACACCATCACCTGTAAGTTTCCCTCGAAGCCACCGCCCTGACTTGGAAATATATCACTGGGTCAAAATCCTGGAATTCTCTTCCTAATGGCATTTTGGGTCTATCTACAACACATAGACTGCAATGGTTCAAAGAGGGTAGCTCACCACCATCTTCTCAAGGGTAACTAGGAATGGGCAGTAAATGCTAGCCAGCCAGCGATGCCCACAAGTGATACCTCATTGCTGTAATTGATTCCCTGACCATCACCCTGTCCTCTTATAACTCTCTCCCTGCCTCGCCTGAAGATCCTATATCCTGAACTATTGAACTGCCATTCCTTCCACTCTCTCAACAGTGTCTCAATAATAGCAATAACATCATACCCCCTTATTTTAATTTGAGCCCTCAACTCATTTGCCTTGTTTGTCACACTCCTTGCTTTAAAATAAATACTATCCAACCTTGCCAAACTTCCTTGTGCCTTAAACAAAAAAAAATACTGCAGATGCTGGAAATCAGAAAGAAAAACAGAAATTGCTGGAAAAACTCTGCAAACCTGGCAGCACCTGAGGAAAGAAAGCAGAGTTAATGTTTTGAATCCCTTGTGCCTTAACTCACCTATAATTTCTATGCCTTCTTGACTTCCTTCCTTGCTGACTCCTTTAATTTTGACTGTTCATCTACCTCTGCTGAAACTGCTCTCAGGATACCATCGCACTGCCAAGTTAGTTTAAATCCTTTGAAGCAGTGCTAACAAACCTCCTTGCAAGGATGCTGGTCCTAGTCTAGACTAATAGAATATTAGACTAATACCTGGAAAAGGGGAGGGGCGTGGGGTTTGTCTTATGAGGAAATATTGGGCTGTCTAGGCTTGTATCCCCAGGAATTTAGAAGAATAAGTGGTGATTTGATTGAAACTATAAATCCTCAGAGGTCTTAACAATGTAGATGTGGAGAGGATGTTTTCTGGTATGAGGGAATCTAGATCTGGGGTACACTGCTTAAAAATCAGGGGTCACCATTTAAAACAGAGCAAAGGCAAAAACATTTCTAAGGATGGAGAGTCTTTGGAACTGCCTTCCTGAAAAGGTAGCTGACGCAGAGTCCCTGTATATTTTAAAGACAAAGGTGGAAACGCGTTGAAAGGTTATCAGGGGCAGGCATGAATGCAGATTTAAGGTTGCAGTCAGATTAACCATGATCCCAATGAATGATGGAGCAGGCTCAAGGGGCTGACTTGGTCTACTCCTGCTTTGTCCGTTTGTATGATTGTTTCTTGATTTGGTTTAATTTGATTTGGAATTGGTTTAAGATTGGCATTTGTGATGCTAGGGATCCAAGGAGGAAGCAGTTTTTGCTGAAGATTGATGAAAATACTTCAGCTTTGTCTTTTACAAGGATGCCTTGGCTCCCCATCATTGAGGATGGGATATTTGTGGAGCCACCACCTCATCCTAATTATTAACTTGTCCATCACCATTCATGACTGGATATGGCAAACTACAGAGGTTAGATCTGATCTGTTGGTATGCATACTGCATACACCATATAGCATACAAGTAGCCTTCTGTTGTGGCTTCACTATTTTTAGGTATGCCTGGTGCTGCTCCTGATATGCCCTCTGAGCCTCTTTGTTCAGAAACGGTTAATGAACAGAAAACAGTAAGAATAAACTAGACATTTTTCGGTTGAAACGCTGTAATTGGCATGGTATGACAAAGATCATAAATTACATTATGAATTTGCATGGTGGGGGACTAAGTGTAATGTATATACATTTACTGATGATTATATGTTAGGTGAGAAAGTAGACAGTGAAGAGAATGGAAAGAATTTGAGTGATACACGTAGAATGGGTAATTGCAAGGTCATTTCAGATGGAATATAGAATGGTTATGTTAATTTCTCCATCTTGATAGGAAAAATACATGGCAAGGATATATTTTTTATTGGTGAGTCAAGAATGCTTGCAGTCAGAGGGACCTTGCATCCTTGTACATGAATCACAAAAAGTTAAAATGTAGCAACAACAAAAAATTAAAAAGAAATGGCACGTTAGCTTTTGTTACAAAACAATTGGAATAAAGAGAAAGGAAGTCTTCCTATAATTGTGTATGACATTGGTGGGGCCACACGTAGAGTGCTGTGTGCAGTTTTGAGTGCGTTATCTAAGGAAACATTTACTTGCCCTTGTGGGATTTGCAGCAAAGATTCACAAGACCTAGTTCTTAGTATGAAGGGTTGAGTTATGATTGCAGATTGATAATGTAGGCCTGTATTCCCTCAAGTTTAGAAGAATGAGAGGTGATTTAATTGAAATATTCTTAAGGGGCTTTGTAGGCTATATGCCAAGAAAGTCGGAAATGTAGGTCATGGGATCACAATTTCAAGACAAAGGATTGTCTATGTTGAACTATGATGTCAAGCATTTTCTTCGCTCACCAGCTTATGACTCTTATGAATTCTCTACCCCAGTGAGCTGTGGATCTCAATTGTTGAGCATATTTATGATAGATAAGGTTGATAGATTGTTGAATACTAAGGGAATTAAGGATATAGAAGTAGTGTAGGAAGATGGAATTAAGTTAGATCAGCCAAAATTATCCTGAATGTTGGAGCAAGCTTGAAGGACCAAATAATCTATCTTGACATATGCTTGTTCCAACTTCTTACTCTGTTATTTTTAAAATATGGTTTGAAGAACATGATGTTCTATTATTATTGCAGATATTTATATACTAAAACCGTTATAACTTAAACCACATTTCTTCTGATATAGGAATACTGGGCCATTCAAGATCTTGCAAGACATAAGAAGTTCTCATACTGGATTAACCTGTACTTGTCAAGGTTGAATAGGTAAAAGTTTATTTGCTTTCCAAACTCTCTTAAAGTACTTTTGCAGAGACATTATTGGGACTATAGCAAATCCAGTTTCTGAATCAATAATTCCATCTACCAATCCTCTTTACCAAATAGGATGGAATTTACCCATTTGAAGTTAAAGAATTGGGTGGGTCAAATTGGGTGTACTGGGGTCAATTCTCTCACATGAGCACCATTTCTTAGCCAGAGAAAGCAAGATGTTGCATGATTACTTAGTGAATTATATGGTGAGTGAGCTGGATGCTCTAATCACTGTTGAGAATTTCCAGATTCAAAGACTCCAGCGTCAAACTTAAAGGCCAGCTGAATCACATTTTAGATGTTGCAAGCCGGGAAGTAGCCCTTAGACTGCGGTGGCGACCCCTAGTAATGGGTCTTAAGAAGAACAAACTGACCACAGGTTTTACGGATACTGCCCTGCAGGTGTTGCTCAACAGGGTCACTGAGATTAGGGTAGTCTTCTTCCAGCCAACTCACCATCGCACCAACCTGGGAATAAATCTGAACATGGATTAGTGCTGTAGCCATAATAATACCAATGGCCATTGGGATCAGATTAAAGTAAATGATTTCCTTCACTCCCCAATGGAGTCCCAGTATTATTTCTCACTCATAGACCATCACTCACTTTAACTCTACAATTGAAAATGCATCTCACCAAGGGTGATGGACTGGAAGCTTCAGCATCGTATTCTTGATGTCCTCTCAAACTGTCATACGTACTTCATCTACTTAAACAATAAACCTTCCTGCCCATAATATTTCCTACACACTCACTGGGGATGCTCACCACCTCATATGATTACACTTGATTACCAACTATTCCTGTGCCCATTTTCATTATACGCAAGTCTTCTGTTTATCTCATTGCAGGAATACAGAGACACCAATGGCCCACCAACCCAGTGAGCATTATGGTGCACAGCTCAGACAAGGACCAACACTAGCACATTGCTCTGAAAAAGCTTCTCTTTATCTTCAGCGACTAATTACTTCTCTTAGACAGGCAATACTAGCATCAGGGAACCTTAGGCTAGAAGAGGCCACAGACTCATTGCCAGTGCCATCTCTGAGGAGATGTGTGACCCTTCAGAGGATGTACAAGCAAAGTATTCACTTGCATTCTGCAGCAGCACAGAGACAATCATCTAAAGGGGCACTCCATCTGGATTAGACTCAGGGGTACAATCTGCTGAACATACCATTGACACGAGTCTACAGTTGCTGGAGCAAGAAATGCACCAGGTCTCTGACACTCATAGAGTACTGCTGAAGACGAGGCACCTGCTTAGCTGAATGCAGAAGAAGTGCCTTTGTATTGTTCCCCTTGCAAGTGTGTCTTGCACAGTAGAGTTCCTTGGTAGTGGCTCTGCTATGCAAATGCATGCTGTCCAAAGAGAGGATGGCAGCTGTCATGGAAACCTGGGTTCAGCAGAATGCTCAGTCGCTGTCTGATATGCACTTGGACCTTAACTCCACTGGTTTATCCATGCATACTCAGCATTCTGGCAAGGCAGGAAGTGGATGATTGACCTTGGCCACACTTCAGGTGCTCATTCCTTTCAAGAGGACAGTGTGGTATCAGGAAGTAGCCACATGGACAAGAAGTAATAGACAGGCATTCTGCTGGCTTATTCTTGGCACCTAAGCGGCACCTTGTACCTCTCTCTCTCTCTGTCTAACCCCACCACCACTGCCTGTAACCCCAATGCCCACAGCACTTCAAGCCAAGGATGGGTGACCCTGCGTATAGGCAGGAGACACTCAGCAGACTTGGGACATCCGGGCCATAAGACACCAGGAGATGACTTTCCAAGCCTTCAAAGTCACCAGGATGTTCCACAAAGCAGGCTACCTCCACCCCACCTGCAGACATTGGGCCTGCATCTAGATGTAATGGGAGGGAGGGTAAGTTAAAAATATCTGAGTGCATGGCCATGGCACATGTTTTCAATCAACTTGTGAACACGCCACTTTAGTAAATATTTATTCACTTAGAGAGTCATAGAGCATGGAAACATGCCCTTTGGCCCAACCCGTCCATACCAAACAGGTTACCTAAGCTAAACTAGTCCCATTTTCCTGCACTTGGCCATATCCCTCTAAACCTTTCTAATCCATGTACCTGTCCAAATACCTCCTGCACCACTTCCTCTGGCAGCTTGTTCCATATATGCACCACCTTCTGTGTGAAAAAGTTGCCCTTCAGATCCCTTTCAAATCTTTCCCCTCTCACCTTAAAACTATACTCTCTGGTTTTGGACTCCCTTACCCTGGGGAAAAGACCTTGGCTATTCCCCTAATCCATACCTTTCAAGGTTTTATGTAAGATCCACTGTAGTCATATTGTTGTAGAGCATATTCAAAGGATATAATGGATTGCAAGCACCAAAGGTTGACTATTCTCTCACACTTCATCTCTCATGCTGTGTGTGTGTGTGTGTGTGTCAGAGAGAGAGAGAGACAGGGAGAGGTGCTTCCACATATTTCACAATAGAAAAGTTTGGCTGAAGAAGGGTCACTGGACCTCAAACATTAAATCTGACTTCTCTGTACAAATGCTGCCAAACCTGCTGTATTTTTCCAGCAGTTTCTGTTTTTGTTTCTGATTTCCAGCATCTGCAGTTCTTTCAGTTTTTGGAATGGTTTGTGTGCTATCTGCTTTTATCAAAGGAACACAGTGGCACTTAAATCAGTGCAATGGCCAAATCACATATGCATTTTTACTCATTATGTAATGATGTGTACTGAACGGGTATTCAAGTTGCAGCTTATTGCTGTTTGAATGCTGCCAAATAGGATACTGAAGCACAGAAAGGGTGCCGTCAGTCACATTTCAGTATGTAGCATTGACTGGATACTGATGGATGCTCATAAGAGTATTTATAGGATGTGTGACAATTTGGTAGTCCTTATAAGGGAGTGGGCTCCACGAAATTGCTCATAAATCCTAGATCCAGGGATCTGTTTCTAAAATGTAGCAAATCCAATGGAGGTGTTCACTATTTCACCATTGACTTATCACAAAAGTTGCTGTAGGGGAAATTTGGAGCAGGTTTTTTTTACCTTTCATGAAGTGAGGATATCAGATTTACATTAGTAACAGCAACTGGCCTTCTTATTGATGAGTGTAATGACTAGCAATACCAACAGAGTCTGTTGGGTATTAGTATTCTAGTTGGGGACTTCAGTGTCATCACTGAGTAACTTCAGCAGCACCACTGTTAACTGAGCTAGTTGTGACCTAAAGAACATAGTTGCTAGGCTGGATCTGGGGCAGATAGTGAAGGAGCCAATAAGAGGGAAAAACATACTTGGCCTTGTATTCAACAAGCTGATTGCTGCAGATGCATCTGTTCATGTTGGTATTGGTGGCAGTGACTGCTGCATAGTCCTTTAGAGGCAAAGTGCTATTTTCACATTGTGCATACCCTGCATTGTGTTTCTGACACTATCACTGTGCCAAATTTAAGTTGACAAGTAATATTCATGCCACATGCAACTCTGGACATTGGACAGCCACACCCAGAGTTTGGCTGCTGCTGGGACAGATCAGGAACTGTTGGATCGGGATTAGCCACAACTGTGGGCCTTCATGATTGAAGCTCCTCCAATAAGCTACCTGCTTCCATATACAATGCGGCATGATGTTGATTTAAGTATTAATGTTGTTGGATTTGTAATCCAAAAACCCAGGCTAATGCTTTGGGGACATGATTTCAAATTGTACTGTGGCAGCTGGTGGAATTTAAATTCAAATAATAAATCTAGAATACGAAGCTAATCTTGATCTTGATCAAGTTCACATTTATTTTTGTAAAACCCCATCTGGTTCATTAAGGTCCTTTAGGGAAGAAAATCTGCTGTTCATACCTGGTCTGGCCTAACAAGTCACTCAGTTCAAGGGGAGTTAGGGATGGCCATCAAATGTTGGTACTAACAGCAGAGTCCATATTACATGAAAGAATAAAGAACACACAGTAGTGTGTTCTTCACTGCTGGCAAAATATCAGAGAATCCATAACATTACCCGATTTTGGTCTCAATTGCCTCAAATATCTACCCTGGGAATACACTGCGAAGAGATCCTGACATAGCTTCCTCCTACTTTACACACTACAATCCCTTGCAACTTCATCATGGGGCTGGGGGAATCCCTTTCTTATTGCCAGTTACTTCCTAAAAATGCTTTTAATAATGCTAAATTATCTGTTTTGAAATAAACTGATGTACACAATATTCCCGAGAGGAGAGGTGTTTACAAATACTGTTTCTTACAGGAACAAATTGGATTCAGATGAAGCACGTAAAATCAGAATGGAAAGTAAGGCTTTTTAAAGTTGTTTTCTTAATATAACCTTTATTCCATGAATTTCATTGTAAAAATAATTTTAAGATGACTTGACTGTCATTATTTCTTTTGAAGATGTCAACCCTAGGTACATTCTTCGCAACTGGATGGCAGAATCAGCAAACAAAAAGAGCGAGAGAAGTGACTTCTCTGAGGTAACCTCATTGCATTTATGGTTTACTCGATTAGTTGAGCTAAAAGTTAGGTATTATCCCCTCATCTTAATTTCCTTAGCCTAGTATTCTGTTTACAAGGCAAAGATTGTATATTATAAATTGCCGTATGTCAGTCTGGAGATGAGACGTTATGGGACACAAGTTTAGTCCTATCACCATCTCTGTTCCTTCTATACCCAAAAAGGTGTTTGTGTATTTAAGAATTTATTTTTTATGTCATTATTCTGATATGAATGTGTAGAATTGTGTTTGTTATGCACGCACCATAATTTTGATGTGAACTTTGGTATCATTATGCTGCTCTCAGAAGAGGGAGGGAATAGGTAACAACAGTGATAGAAAGTGGTAGTCAACCACTGGTCAGAAGAAGTAGCTGAACGAACCTTCTGTTAGCAGCCATAACAACAATCAGTGTCCTGATAAGTGGCTAATAAATACTAAGTAACTTTTGCATCATACAAGTGCCTGGCAATGACTATCTCCAAAAAGAGAGAATATAATTATCTCCCTTGACCTTTGATGGCATTGCCATCAGTGAATCCTTCATCAGCAACAGCCTGAGGATTATATATTGACCAGAATCTGCACTGATCCAGCCACATAATTATAGTGGTTACAAGAGTAGGTCAGAGACTAGGAACTTTGCAATGGGTAACTTGCCTCCTAACTTCCCAAAACCTGTCCATCATCTACAAGACACAAATTGGGTGCGTGATGAAAGCTTGGTACTGCCCAGGGCAAAGCAGACTATTTCATCACCACCCTGTTCACCACCAAAAGCATTCACTCAGGGCACCACTAATATACAATGGCAGCAGTGTGTACTGTGTGCAAAGTATATTGCAGCAATTCAGCAAGACTCCCTTCAAGCATCAAGACCTGTAATTTCTACTACCTAGAAGAACAAAGGCAGAAGATGCATGGAAGAACTACCATCTGCAAGATCTTTTCCAAGCCATGCACCATTTTGGCTTGGAACTATTTTGCTGTTCTTTCACTGTTGCTGGGTCAAAATCCTTGAACTCACTTCCTTATAGCACTGTGGGTGTACCTATATTGCATGGACTGCTATAGTTGAAGCAGGTGACTCACCACCACCTTTTCAAGAGCAATTAAGGATGAGCAACATAAGTTGATGCTTTCATTCTATGAAAGAATATAAAAAGATAGTTTCTTCATTAAATTTGTCCCCTGCAGCCTGATATCATTATCTTCCTTTTTTGTTTACATGATTAAAAGCAATCCCAATTGAAATATATGAAAATCTGTTCTAAATCCTAAGAATTGAGAGTTGGTTGGCTGGATGGCCAGCATGTAGGGGAGATTAATACCATCAACGTGGGTTCAGTTCTTGTTCTGACTGACGTGAACTCGAGGCTTGCCTCCTTGTCCTACCCCAGTAAAATCAATTGTGGTACTTTACTGCCGTTCAATTTATAATCATCAATAATTGTATTTAGGCAGAGAACTCAAAAGGAAGAATAAATTCAAAAAAGTTCTCCAAAAGCACAGTTCCTGTTTGGCAGCAATTTTAACCATTCCTAGCCCTTTTAAGTCCAATCTGAATGGTATGAACGTTCTGGGATTATAATGATCTTTCCTTCCAGTTGCCTGAATTAAAGAAATCAAATTCCTATTTTAACATAAAGTTAGGAATGAAAAACTAGGAATGAGAAACTGAGGTCATGTTAAAATAATGTGACATAATTTGTTCAATGAATAACTAGATTCTATTCTATATTCACATAATGTCCACAAATGAATTAAAAAGTTGAAATGCCACTACCAATTTGAAAAATCATTTCTTTGCTTGGCCTTAATGACAGGTTCGCCTTCTGCAGAAAATTTTACGTCATCCTTTTAGCAAGCAGACGGAGGCTGAGGAAGCAGGATATTCTTCCCGTCCTCCTTCATGGGCTAGAGAACTTCGTGTCAGCTGTTCCTCTTAACGATAAAAATAAATTGGAGGAGGACCAGAAATTGCTAATAGCCCAGCCTCTGGCTTTTAATCATTTGGCCAAGTAATTCCACATTCCTCGTGTGAACTGATATTGCAAAAGTTGAAAGTGTTGTTAAATAAAACTGATTGTCTTTGTAATGTATATTATAAATAAAATTGATTAAATTTTAAAATCTTGCCATTGGTATGTCATAAGGTATAAATTATAGGTGGTTCTGGTTATTACCAATTACCAGACTAATCTAAAATATCTGTGCTGACAGTTTTCATTGTAAGTTCTGAGTTGTTTTGCATGAGATCATTGTGGTGCCATCTGTCTCAATTGGACATGTGCAGAATTAGAATTAGCTTTATTGTCACGTACTCAAATGAGTAGAGTGAAAAGTTTACAAATTGCCACTTACAGCACATCATAGGTACAAGGGTACAGATTCTTAAGTGCAAATTCTTAGGGAAAAAAATTAGGGAAATAAAGAAATAAAAAGTCTAGCATTACAGATCATAATAATAAATTAGAAAATAAGGAAATAAAGAGTTCAGAATAATAGTCCTTCCAACCCAGCCCATGGCAATACCTCATCTGTAGTCTGTGCCAGGCCTTGACTGCAGACCGTGCTGCGATTCACCTCTGGAATTATTTTGAGGCCGGAATT